AAGATGTTGAAGAGTACTGGGCCTAAAACAGAGCCTTGAGGTACTCCACTGTGTACTTCCCTCCATGTAGATGCAGTTCCGTTGAGGACTACACATTGAGTATGGTTGGTCAACCAGTTATGAATCCATCTGGTGGTGATGCTGTCCAACCTACATTCTTCTACTTTATCTAGTAGTAGGTTATGGTCTACCTTATCACATGCCTTACTGAAGTCCAAGTAAACTATATCGACGGCATTCCTCTGGTCCACTAATTTTGTCACTTTTTCAAAGAATGCAATAAAATTAGTCTGGCATGATCATGAAATGTTACGGGGATCCATCTAATACTGCACCCTTCTAAAATGATTTGTGAGTGAGCTATTAGACTTAATTACTTCAAATTGCTGTCCATGACTTTGCCACTGCTGCTGAGATGAAAGAAAAATCAAGAGTGATACATCACAGATGATTTATTCAGATGTTTCCTTTGCAGGCATTGATGGCTTGGGAAGCAGTGCAATAGGTGGGCAGCTGATGGCTTCGGCTTCCAAACAATCTCCTCTCTCCCAGACCTGGAAACCAGATGATACATTGATGGCAGGTGAAAGGATGTGCATAGTGGGCAGCATGGCTCACATGTCATATATCAGTGTCATATTTTAGGTTAGAGATGTAGCCATTGATTATAGGCAAATGTTTCCTATTTGGTGTCTTGATATCTGTCTGTGTGATACAGATGTCATTTAAAATCTGGTTCCAGCTTTTTATTGTGACAATGAACTATAGTTTTTTTCCTTCCATTTGGGGCATTACACAGACATCATTAACATTATGGTTCATTAAAATGTACATTGTGGGGGGAAATGTGTGCTTAATTTTTGAATCATTCACAACCTTTGAAATAATTATTCATTTTCTTTCTATTTCTTTCTCACTCTTGGCCTCGCCTTGTCCTTGGGTTATGAAAATCTCCTTTCTGCCCTTCTATTAGCTCCAGGGGGGAGGGGGTAGAGTGATCTCAAAAACCTCCATGGAAGCTATTTTGCTGAGCTAATGTCAATATGATGGACAGAATTTCCATCAGGATCATGGTGGAAGGAAATTACGGTTCCCCTCCCATCCCTAGATATAACTTCTGATTAAATATTTAGCATAGTTGGAATAATTCCTAAGACTGTCTTTCATTTTTCTTTGCTTCAGGAGTTGCTTTCGCCCGATACCTTCTAATTGGTTGCTGGAAGAATTTGATTGATACCTTATCAACACCTCTGACTGGCCGCATGGCAGGGAGCTCCAAAGGATTAGCATTCATTCTTGGAGCTGAAGGCATCAAGGAGCAGAACCAAAAGGAGAAGGATGCCATCTGCATGAGTTTAGATGGGCTAAGGAAGGCAGCTCGGCTCAGTTGTGCTTTAGGTAAACTGTATTCATTGGCCTAGTCTTAATTTTCAGATAAATCTGTGCACTCTTTCAGTATCCAATAAGGAAGCTTCAACAAAGGAGAACAATAAACTATGTGATTTTTCTCCTTCTGGGCTACTAGATGTTTTTGCATGGTTAGGTTAGGTTTATTCAACTTGTATGCCGCCCTATTCCCGAGGGACTCAGGGCGGCTAACAAACCAAAGGGAAGGAGAATACAAACAGAACACAAGACAAACAAGTTAAAACAAAACAACAGTCACAACAGTTTAAGTGGGGCCGGGAACTCGTCAGCCCCAGGCTGCCGGAACAGCCAGGTCTTAGTGGCTTTGCGGAAAGCCGGGAGGGTGGTGAGGGTCTGGATCTCCACGGGGAGATCGTTC